CTCTTTTCTGCTTATCACTACAGACAGAAACTAAAAATCATGGTTTCAGGCTGCAAGAAGCCTAAAACAAAACAGAACAACAGCAACAACAAAAGGCACGTTGGACAAGCAATCTACACAGAATGAACAGTTTGTGCAAAGCCTCCAAGGTGTGTAAGAGTTTATTGAGCTTACTGGTTTCAAAGAACTGAACACTAGAAGAGTGTGATTAATGCACAGAGAGCAATTGAAGAAGTCATAGGAGATGGGATCAGAGAAACGGGCAAGAATCATGTTACAGAGGCCCTTGTGGTCTGCAGTCGAGAGTGCAGGACTTATTCTCTAGGGGAGAATAGATCCCCATTTTCTTGTAATTGTGGAAATGAGATCCCGTTTTCTTGCTGGTTGTCAGTTGAGGACTGTCACTAGGTTCTAGAGGCCACATGCATTCCTTGACTTCTATCCTCTTCCTTCAATTTAAAAGCCTGCAAAGCCTTTTGAGATATTCAAGTTCTTCTCACATTGCATCTCTCTAACCAACCCCTCTACCTTCCTCTTCCACTTTTAAGGACTATTTTGAGCCTGCTCAAAATATCCAGGTAATCCTGATCAATCATTAACCTTAATCACATCTGCAAAGTTAGTTCTGTCATGGAAGGTAACATATTCTCAGAATCGGGGAGGTAGGGCATGGACAGCTTAGAGAGTGGAGTGGATATCGCTCTGCCTGCCACAAAGGTAGAGTCAAATAGAGAAAAGTATTTATAGGGGTGGTTAATGACCTTGACAGTATATTTTTTGGACATATGATGGCGAAGGAGAACCATATCATTGTCAGTGGATCAATGAAAGGGGAAGTTAGATAGTAGAAACAATGGGCCTTGTACGGTGGCTCCTGCCTGTAATCCCAGCACTTTGGGATGCCGAGGTGGGTGGATCACTTGAGTCCAGAAGTTCAAGATGAACCTTGGCAACATAGTGAAACCCCATCTCTACAAAAAATCCAAAAAGTTAGCCAGGCATGGTGGTATGTGCCTAGCTACTCAGGAGGCTAAGGTGGGAGGATCCCTTGAGCCCAGGAGGTAGACTTTGCAGTGAGCCAGATCATGCCACGGCACTCCAGCCTGGGTGACAGAGTGAGACCCTGATGTAGAAAGAAAATCATAAAGTAGAAACAATGTAGTGTGTAGACAACTCTTTAGAGAACTTGGATTATGGCTGGAGGAGGATGTGGAATGAAATGAAGCATTTTTTAAGGCAAATACAAATGATGTTTACTAATAAGAACAAACCAGGCAAAAGTAGCATAATGATGATACTCGGAGCATCACCAAGATGAGGCCCTGGAATCCTTCATCCAGGGAGGATAGATGCTTCACCCATCAGGGAAGGGAGGAAGCCCTGCAAGGAAGCATTGGAATCTTTCCTAGGACAGGAGTGGTTGGATCCAGAGCCAGTGGAGAGGTTGGCCTTTGATGGGAGGGACATGCCTCCTTGCGTATAGAAGGGAAGATGGAAGATTTGGATGCTTTGTGACATTGTGATGGGAGATAAGTGAGATGCCATCTCATGCTTTTTATTTTTTCAATGAAGTATGAAGCAGGGTATCATTTAACAGAACTGTGACCATAGCAGCCTTACTTCAAACTCCTCAACAGCACTACCTGCTTACCTCCGTTTTTATTTCCTGGTGTTCTCTGCCTAGAACTTGATAGTACCTCATCACACATTCTGCCTAGCCCTCTGAACACACCACACCTCTTTGCTTTTGATGGTGTGTTTGCTCATGCTCTTTACCAGAACACCTTGCCTCTTCTCACTTTGCCTTTTACCGCCTCCCATCCCAACTCCTACTTCTTTTCCAGGAAACAGCCTTGAAACACACCCTCACCCTGGCTGGTTAGTTGCTCAGGTTCTCTCAGAGCTCTCTGTGTATACTTCTTTTACTCCTAATACAGTTATTTGTTGTATATCTGTAATGTCTACTAAACTATGTTTGTAGGAGCGGAGGCCATGGTGCTTTCATTCTGAAATTCATAGCACCTAGGACAGTGTTGGCACATAGGAAGAGCTCAGTAAATGTTTTTAAATATAATAACTTCATTGCAGATAAACTAATTGATTGAGCATATGTCTCAAACTACCAAAATAGGACAGGAAAAAACGGAATGTATTAAGTGGGAAAGAACTGCTGTTTTGCTCTTCACTTAGTATATTTTGCTCACTTTCAACCACCAGCTTTCAGTGGGCTCAAGCGTTCAAAGTGGTCAGCTTTACAATGTCATGAAATCAGCCTAAGTGTTCATCAATGCTTAGGTTGGTGGATAAAGAAAATGTGGTATATATATGCCACATAATACTATACAGCCATAGAGAAGAATGAAATTATGCTGTTTGCAGCAACATGGGTGGAGCTGGAGGCCATTATCCTAAGTGAAGTAACCCAGGAACGGAAAACAAAATACTGCATGTCCTCATTTATATGCTGGAGCTAAACAGTGGAAATAATAGACATTGGAGACTCCAAAAGAAGGGGAGGGTGGAAAGCAGGAGATGATTAAAAATATTACCTATATGGGTACAATTCACCCTTTGGGTGATGGGTACCCAGGAAGCTCAAACCTCATCATTATGCAATACACCTATGTAACAAACCAGCACATGCACTCCTGAATCTAAAATAATAGAATAAAAGAAAATAAAGGAAAACAAAAAAGCCAAAATGGCGAATAAAAAAATTCCATACATAAATAATTCATATGTTAAAAAACACAACAAAGTGTCAGCTTTAAGTCTGTGTTATTCTGTAGGCTGTAAAGTCATTGAGAGAAAAGATTACGGTTTAGTCCTCCTTGTATTTTCAGTACTTGACACAAAATGTAAAACTTGTAGAAAGTATTAAAATGTTTAGATAAATGATTTCATATTATTTAAAAATTACTATCTGTTTCTAGAACTGGCAATATTTAGCAAATTTTCTCCCCGGGGATGTCCTTCTGTTCTCTGATTAGCCTTTAGAGAAAGTAGTTTGATACCAACCTAATTTTTATCTCATTATCCATTTCAGAGGCCTTGGGTTATTCTGAGCATGTTGATTTCAAGTCCTATAAAGCTGAGTGACTTAATATATTGTTCTTCAACTTGGTCTTTTTAAAGAGCCAAACGTCTTCACACATGCTACAAATGCATGCTAGCTCTGCATTTGGTTACCTGATGAGTTCAATAGAAGCCCACATCTCAGCATTAAGCTATATAATCCCTGTTACAAGACTGCGAAAGTACCCCCAAATCTAAAAAAAAGTTTAACAATAATACATTACAAATAACTATGCATCTTTACAAACAATATGTGTAGTACACTAGGTCCTTGAATAATGTCATTTCATTCAACGTTGTTTTATTATGGTGTTGATGAGAAAACAAAATCAGTTTCAAACCAGGGGTCTGCATGGTTTGCACATTCTCCCCATGTCTGTATGGGTTTTCTCTGGGTACTCAGTTTCCTCTTACACCTCAAAGATGTGCATGTGGGTTAGTGGGCGTGTCTACGTTGTCCCCATCTGAGAGTGTGGGTGTGGATGGGTGGACCCTGAGATGGAATGGCGTCCTGTCCAGGTTGGGTCCCAGTTCAGTACACTGAGCTATTGGGATAAGCTCTGACCACTTTGAACTGGAGTAATTGGGAGCATCATTATCTTACTTGTTTTTATTCATTTTTCTTTTTTTTTTTTTGAGATGGAGCCTCACTCTATTGCCCAGGCTGGGGTAGAGTGATATGGTCTCGGCTCACTGCAGCCTCCACTTCATGGGCTCAAGCAATCCTCCTGCCTCAGCCTCCTAAGTAGCTGGGACCACAGGCATACGCCAATGTGCCTGTCTAATTTATGTATTTTTTTGTATTTTTGGTAGAGATGGGGTTTCACTGTGTTTTCCAGGCTGGTCCCGAACTCCTGGACTCAAGTGATCCACACACCTCAGCCTCCCAAAGAGCTGCAGTTACAAGCATGAGCCAATGCACCTGGCCTATTCATCTTTTTTAAATGTATGCATAGCCCACTTTCATTTCCGTGTTTAATATTAGATGTGTCTTGGTCTTTATTTAGAAATTTATGTTTTTTGGTGATCAGAAATATGCCGTAGCAAACTTATTCTTGTTTATATTAATTAGCCTATGGTAAAATTGGTTTCATTATATATTGTTTTGCTTAAAGTCACAGTTTTCAAGAACTGTTGAAAATAAGTGAGTACTTAACTGTATTTTTAGTGGAATAATTTGCAACTGAAAAAAGTTTACAAAAATAGGATTAATTTCAATGTTCATAATAAAATGCTAAGGGATAAAAATGGTATTAAAAATTATATATGGCCGGGTGTGGTGGCTCCTGCCTGTAATCCAAGCACTTTGGAGGCCAAGGCGGGTGGATCACCTGAGGTCGGGAGTTCAAGACCAGCCTGACCAACATGGTGAAACCCCGTCTTTAAAAAAAAAAAATTATATATACAGTATGGTCTTAATTTTATGAGAAAATTCTGTATCTATGTAAGCATATATAGTTATAGGTTTGTGTATAAAAATAGCTATAAAGTAATATGGCAAAACGCTAATAACAGTTTTGCCTGAGTAGTGGAATTTGGATAATTTCAGCTTTCTTCCATATACCTTTCTTTATTTTCTAAATTTTATAATAAGTATTTTCTTCTTTTTGAACTCAGGAAATCTATGTTTTTTTTGAGGTGGAGTTTTGCTCTCGTTGCCCAGGCTGGAGTGCAATTGAGCGATCTCGGCTCACTGCAACCTCCACCTCCCAGGTTCAAGCGATTCTTCTGCCTCAGCCTCCCGAGTAGCTGGGATTATAGGCTTGCACCACCACACCTGGCTAATTTTTTGAATTCTTGGTAGAGAGGGGTTTCTCCATCTTGGTCAGGTTGGTCTTGAACTCCTGACCTCAGGTGATCCGCCCACCTTGGCCTCCCAAAGTGCTGGGATTACAGGCATGAGCCACCGCGCCCAGCTGGTATTTGTTTTTAAAAGTAAATTTTTCTTTAAGCATCCATGATAAAAATTGCTTTTTTCCCCCTCCAGTGTTGAAGAGTGCAGGAAATTTGGAGTCCTATGTTAGAAATGTTTTTTAGCCACGAGGACTAGAGAATGGCAGTTAGTGTACATCAATGATTATTGATCCAGGAGAGGCTTTGGATTGACTTAAAATGTAAAAATACGTTCTGGGTTCAATCTATCTATTTTCATTGTTGTTGATCAGATCTGTTTGGTTTTATCACCTTTGGCAGATGTTCCTGTGGTTTCTTAGGAGAGCCTCCCTCTACCCTGGTACATGTGATTATAAGCAAGACTTTCTGAAGCGTAATGCTCAAGACCAGAATAGACTAATGAGTCACTTGGACGTATTCTGAATCAAAGATTTAAAAACCAAAGCATGCAAATAAATGCTCCTAATGCCTTAGCTCAGAGGAAACATCGGTTTATTTTAATTTTAAGGCTAGCCAAATGGCTATTGCTCAAGGCAGCCAGAGTAATGTTAGTGTGGAGAGCTGGCTCCATATGAGCAAGGGCTACATGTTTTGGTGTGTTATAGTATTTATGGTATGCTATTTTATTTTAATTAATTTTGCATATTCTCTATGTTACTAATACAATGTTGGACATATACAAAGTACTGAATGAATGACAGAGACCAGAGCAGAGGGGAGTATTATAAAGTACTGATTGATTAGGATATCATAGGTTGGCTGGGACTGTCCTGCTTCATGGCTCTTGTCTTAGTTTAATCATTAATAGTATCCTCTTTTGCTCTCACAAGTGTTTTGTTTGGATGATTGTTTTATAGGGCCACTTTTTGACTGAGGTGGCTGAGTAAAATCTTCTAGATTCCATGCATTCATCTCTGCCTGCACAGCAGTTGTCTGCCTGGCAAAAATGTAAGAGCCACACCCAAAGGCACATGCTTTTTAATGCCCCCCCTCTCCTTCTTACCCTGCCTAATGGCTGCAGTAGATGCCTTTGTACTAAGCCTTTTCAGATAGATAAATAAAACTGTTGAAGAAGCCCTAGAGGATTAAAGCTCTGGACAAGTTGATCTCTTTCTACTACCACAGCTGTTCCAGATGGTGGTAATACTTATAGGCCCCTGAACACTGCATTTGGGGCCAATGGGATGAAATCCCAAGAACACATTGAAACTGACAAGCTGTCTTGATATTTGCTCTTTAGCTCCTAAGCCATGGATTCGCTTCTCTATGGCAGTTTGCACTTCTGTTTCCTTTATTTCTTCAGGGACTTCTGCTTCATTCCCTTTTTTCTTTAGAAGAATGAGAATTTAAAAGGCAGTACATCTAATTTGCTGAGGATTTAGTGCCTCCTAATTGCCCTAGAAGCCTGAAAAGTCAGGCTCTAGGAACAAGCTCAGAGGACTCAAATTGAGACAAACATTTGTATTTTGACAAAGGCTATGCAGCCTTCCGATTGCTGCTCTCGAAGCAGAGTGTAATAAATGAGATTGAGAAAACACTTGTACTTTTTGAATTAGGGTTTAAGTTCCTAGAAACCTCTTGTTCTTGTTCAATTTAAGATTGATATCTGTGTTCGTTTAAAACGAAAATGGTTCTAAACTTTTCTTGAGTCACTGAGCCCTCTGAGAAAATGATGACTGAGGATCTTCTCCTCTCACATGTGTACATACAAAGAACATTATATATATAATTTCAGAAGTTTTATGTTGCCCATTCCACTCTGGATTTTAGGTTAATATAGAAGATAGTTGGTTGCCTTTCGCACATCCATGCTCTGTATCCTGCATTCCTTCTTCCTATCAGAAACCTTATTCTCTCCAGGTATCTCACCCTCCTCCATGGGATGGTGTGATTGAGAGGGGGCCCTGGCCTCTGGTCCCAGGGGTAGTGGGGCTGGGGGAAGATGATTGGTTGAAACCAGTCATGATGGTTCCCTGTTTCCTTTGCCAGAGATTGGTCCAGCCATGGGTATGTGATGCATTTCTTGCAAATAAGTAGAGTGTAATCCTACTGGGTAGCTTTGGGACAAAGTTTCAACACTCTTAAGATGAAAACCATGCAGTAGTATGGATGAAGGAATCTTGAAACCCTTTGTAGATGTATTATAAGATTGAGCAAATGAGAAAAGATAGAAAGAGCCCTATGGGATTAATTGGAATTGACATATTGGTGTGAATTCATGATTTCCAAAATATGCAAGTGAATGCATATGTGTGTTTTTATTTGCAGATGAATGTATATGTATATTTATAAATATGTGTGAAGACATTTATATATGTATGTATATGTATACATATAGTCATATATTTCCTAGCTCTGACTGTTAAAAGGACTAAGAAGATATGATAACCTGATAACAATGAAAACACCTGGTACCCAGATTTTAACACCATTCTTCACTTAAAAAAACCCTCAGAAAAACAAAAAACCAGGGCCTGGGCATGGTGGCTCACACCTGTAATCCCAGCACTTTGGGAGACTGAGGCAGGAAGATCACGAGGTCAGGAGATAGAGACCATCCTTATACATGGTAAAAGCCCATGTCTGCTAAGAATACAAAAAAAAACTTAGCTGGGCATGGTGGCACCGGCCTGTAATCCCAGCTACTGGAGAATCACTTGAACCTGTGAGGTGGAGGTTGCAGTGAGCCGAGATTGCACCACTGCACTCCAGCCTGGGTGACAGTCTGAGACTCTAAAACAACAACAACAACAACAAAAACATAACATGCTTACTTGCAGAAATTCCAGCGCTGGGGCATGAATCAAGGTGATATTGGAATCACAGGTTGTGTTTCTCGGGCTAGTCCCCTAACCAAGCCTTTAACAGGCCAGTCCAGAATTCAGTTAAGCTGGATGCTTGTGAATGAGGAGGTATATGAGAAAACTCATGGAGTCCCTACTCATACTCATTGCTGCACCTACTTTGACATATATCAATCCCTGGGTCTGAAGCAATGTTAAGTGATACTACATTGGTAGTTTAGGCATTCTTATATGCTCAAATAGTGGCACTTGCAGAGGCCCTACAGGCAGAGAAAGCAAACCCAAACTGGAGTACATGCCAATTCAAGCAAGCATGAATTTCTGCCTCCCGTCTCCTTTTTGGGGTGGAAGTGGTCTGTTATGATCAGCCTTTCCCCAAGGGCCTGGCTGATATCCTTGAAGGTGCTATAGAGATTGGCATCTCCCTCTGCTATTGGTTGGTTGGACCATTCAGCAGTGGCAATGCCTAGGTCATTGCTAAGAGAAAACGCATAATGCCTAGCCCATGTACAGCCTGTATCCCTCCACCTGAGCCATCCCATCCATGGGGCCACTGTGCCAGCACTGGGTGTCTGAGAAGAAGGCTCTGGCTGACATCCACAGGGGAGTCATGCATTCAACCAACCACCACTGGATCTGCTCATTTACACGGCTTGAGTGACAGGGCAGATTGTACCACAGTCTGTTGCCGCTGAGTCTTCTCCTGCTTTGGACCACATTTCTGCCATCTGCTAACTGAAAACAGAGCTTGAAATAGAGAATTGCCTGCAAGAGACTTATTTGTCAATGTGATCCCAAGAAGTAGGAGGGACAAGGGGTGGGGAAGAAATAGGGAAGGAAGCCAGTACAGTGGTCATGCTAGGGACGACTGATGTTCTATCCCTTCGGATCTTCTGGGAGACTTATGAAATTTATCTTAGCACTGTGAGTCCAGATAACTAATGGGGTTATCGGCTCCTGTCCATCATGGTTCATTGATCACAGCTTGCCCCACATGTTTTAGCTCCCAGGCTGTGCATGTCAGCTGTCCCAGAAGCTTCCTTCAGGTGTCAGAGAACTCCGAAGGCAGGAGTCCAGAGATAGAAGGCATCTGGTACAGCCAAAGATGAGGTGCTATCAAATTGCACCTGTTTGGAAGCTGGTTGGAACCTCTGCTGGATTGGAAAGCCACATTGAGCACTGAAGTGGGAGGTGAGAGGAGATAAATTAAGAGTGTTACATAAATTGTGTCCCATGCACACACTACATTCCAAAGGGTCTAATGAGGAAAATGCAAGCTTTGAACAAGACACAACTGGCTCCACTCTTATCTAGTTGTAATACTTTGGTTTATTTACTTGACCATTCTAAAGTTCAGTTTTTCATCTGCACAATGAGGATATCAGCTCATTATGCAACTGGGAGAGTTAGCAGATGTGACATCTGTTAAGTTCCTGCTTTGGGCCTGGTATGACTATACAAAGCAGCAGATGCACAGATATCTTTCTAGTCTTGTAGGTGGAGGGGAAGGAAAGGAGATAGGACATGAGGGACGAGTTCATAGAAAGAGGGCATTGGACAAAAATGCAGGAAAAAGAGCTCTTCATAAAGAGAGGAGTGTTCATGTGTTGCAGGGAGAGAGGACAGGTAAAGATATTAAAGATGACAAGATTAGTATGGTCCAGGTAGAGTCCAGACCAAGGTTGAGTGTGTTCAGGGAAATAGAGGGACTTCCATTTGACTGTCTTGTAGTTATCTCTTAGGAATAGACAGAAGACAGCACAGCTAGGGTAGGCACTTAAATGCCAGTTTGAATAGTTTGAATTATACTTGGTAGGCAGCCTGGAAGGACGTATAGACAAACTTCTCCAAAGACTGGGAATTCAACCAAAGAGGCCAGTTGGCTTTCTAGTTTTCTCATTCCTGCAGCTCATTGAGGCCATGCAGGAAGTTACCATTGCATATGTGTCCTTCTTGTAGCTTCTGGGGATATCACTAGGTAACTTAATAATTCCAGAAGAGACATATGGGAAGATGGAGGTGGGCAGGCGTTAGGGGGCTAGCTCTCATTCATGTTTTACTTTCTTTTTTTTTTTTTTTTTTTTTTGAGACGGAGTTTCGCTCTTGTTACCTAGGCTGGAGTGCAATGGCGCGATCTTGGCTCACCGCAACCTCCGTCTCCTGGGTTCAGGCAATTCTCCTGCCTCAGCCTCCTGAGTAGCTGGGATTACAGGCACGCGCCACCATGCCCAGCTAATTTTTGGTACTTTTAGTAGAGACGGGGTTTCACCTTGTTGACCAGGATGGTCTTGATCTCTTGACCTCGTGATCCACCCGCCTCGGCCTCCCAAAGTGCTGGGATTACAGGCTTGAGCCACCGCGCCCGGCCACTTTACTTTCAAGATATAGTGTGTAGTATAGTGTGTAGTGCCCAGTGCTAACTAACATATACTAAGTATTGAGTAAATATTTGAGGAGAGGATGAGCGAATGAAAGTGTTGTGTGTTGATCTCTTCCAGTTCTCTTCTTGGTGGCACTGTTAGCTTATGTGGCTTCTTGGGTAAGACGTTTGCCTTTCTTGTGCCAGAGCCAGCCATGAGCTAGGACAGGAGTGAGTTCTCTTAAGTTCTGTGGTTGAAGATTTTAGACAGGTTTTGAGCTTAGATACATATTGAATGTGTGTGTCTCCATTTTTCTTTCTAGGTCTGATGTGACTGTGTTTCAGCATGTGCTTGTACACTGTTCAATTCGCTGAAAAATAATGTGGTTGTGTAAACACTCAGAAGGAAGTGTGGTGTGACTGGTGATCACAGCTTCTGCCAGAATATCTAGAACAGGATGCATTCTGCGCTGAAAGAGATGACTACAATAGCTGTAGCTATTTATTTTATTAAAAAAAATTTCTTAGCCTTAGTTCATGTCCTACTTATTCCAAGCAGTATAGGTCCAGCATCCCTAATAAAAAAGCTCCAAATGTGGAATTTTTTGAGCACTGACATGATGCCACAAGTGAAAAATTCCACACTTGGGTACTTAGCACAGTTTGTTTCATGTGCAAAATTACTTAAAATATTGTATAAAATTACCTTCAAGCTATATGTAAAAGGGTGTCTGTAAAACATAAATAAACTTTATGTTTAGACTTGGGTTTCATCCCTAGAATATCTCATTATGCATATACAAATATTCAAAAATTAAAAAAAAGTTCAAAACACTTTTGGTCCCAAGCATTTCAGATAAAGTATACTCAACCTGTATTTAATGTAACAAAATTTCAATAATACCACAGAATTTGAACAATGACTTGGAGGCTTATATAACTGATTTAGCCTTACTGTGAGAATATTTGGGGAGCTGAGCTCAGGAAATGTACCTCTTCTTTCTTTGTTTCCTTTCTGTTTCTCTCTCTCTCTCTCTCTCCTTTCTCTCTCCCTTTCTTTCTTTCTTGGATGGAGTCTTGCTCTGTCACCCAGGCTGGAGTGCAGTGGCATGATCTCAGCTCACTGCAAACTTTGCCTCTTGGTTCAGGTGATTCTCCTGCCTCAGCCTCTGCAATAGCTGGGATTACAGGCACATGCCACCACACCTGGCTAATTTTTGTATTTTTAGCAGACACTAGGTTTCACCATGTTGGCCAAGCTGGTCTCGAACTCCTGAACTGAAGTGATCCACTGACCTTGGCCTCCCAACTCTGGCTGCAGAGTCACTTAGCTATTGGCTCTTTCCCAGTATAAGGGGATTTGGAGAATTAATCTGATATTCCCAGGTTGAATTTTTTTTGTTAATAAAATTTAAGCAAAAAGTATATTTTAAAAAACCTTCCAGCAATTCAGGGGCTTATATTCTGGAGAGTTGAACATTCTAAATAACATAGCATAATTTCCTAGCATTTTACATCGCTACCCTGAGCTCCTTCATGTTCTTTCACTTTCTTTCCTCAGCATGTGAAACACCATGGCAGCAACCCTTATTGCTCGTGGCTACCTCTGCGTCCCTCCTTTTTTTTTTTACAGGACATTCTGTTCTTCTCACCAGCTCTAACCTGTTTGCCACTTGGCAAGCATGGAGAACAGGACTCTCCACATAGTCTTACCCTGTGGACTGGTTTCAGCTTTTCGGAGAGCAAAGCCTCTGGTCCAACAGCATTTGGCAATTGAGACAATTGGGGAGAAGTAGTAATGTGTTTAACTGCAGAGAATGTAGCCTTTGGCATACAAGGAGGAAGCTGTCTTGGCATCTGTCATTAGAGCCACTGGGTATATTGGAAAAAGTCCATTTCATTCTTCGTCTTTTTGGATCCTGAAACAAGAGGCTGTAGTGCCATCAGGAATATGGAGATTGGGAGGCATGAGAATGACTCAAGTAACCTTCTAAGGAAAACGTACACCTCCAGGGTAGCTAAACAAACAATGCTTGTTGGGAAAGCAAAATCATCTGAAAACAACCTGAGTTCAGAGGTAATTAAAAAAAAAAACAGGAATAAAAAATAGTTTTAAAAAATTATTCGAAATGGAAAAATTTAATGGTAGGACGGAAAAGTAGTACTTCTAGCTTGGTTTTGAATTCCTACCTGGATGGGGATACTGACTGTTAAACTGGAGAAAAGATTGTTAGCATCTAAACCTTTGTTTCTGAACCTGTAAAATGAAAGAATAATAGTTTATTTTTTTCTTTTTAAAAATGTTT